GTGCACGCACATCTCATTTCTTAAGAGAAACTCTCCCTCCCTTCAAAAGACCTTTTTAATCGAGAAGTTTTCTTAAAGTGAGCCCAGTTGTTTTGGCTGACTGCTTTGGATATAATCTTTGAAATGATTGACTATGTTAAATCATGATAATTAGATCTGACCATTAACCTCCCACAGAGCTGATTACAGGGATGGGGGTGATGAGGAAGTTTTTTATTTTTCTTAGTGCTATTGTTTCAGTCTGTTTGCAGAGTAAACACAATGAGTGTGTCGGTTGATTACTCTGCAGACCATCTCTCAAGCCAGAGGAGACGGATATTTAGTTTTCAAACGTGAAAACGTAGGTTTTAGAGAAAACATGGTCTAGAGACATGTTGGGAAGGCTCTAGGTCTATGCATCTGTGCCTTTCCAACTAATCCCAGCTGTTTACTTATGGAGTGGCTGTTTCTAGAGCATTTATCCCCTTTACTTCAGCTTCTTCCCATCGCATTCATATACATACCTTGAGAGACAGCACTCTCCTCATTGCTTTAAGATTGTCCTAAGTTGGAGCAGCAGGGATTGACTCCTCCCCTCCAGCATTTTTACAGACAAGCACAGCCCAAGTCTTAGAAGGTGTGTATTTAAAGGGCATCTCGCTATCTGCCTGTTGTGCTCATAAATCAGTTATGACCATTGCACGTCTGTGAGTGCTCTGAGTAACAAAAGGCAGTTACTGATTGCAAGGGAAGATTGCCACAGGAAGGAGGGCGAGCGGTATTTGTGTGTTGCAATGGGCAGCTGCCCATGCGGTGAAACAGCCTGGATTTAGCTGAAGGGGAGCTTTGTTGAGGAAAGGAGGATCCTTGCCTGGAATAATTGCTTCTGAGCCAGGGAGAATTGACTACTCCAGAGTGGGAACAGGCCCTCAGCTACCTCTGGCACAAACAGCGGGGCTGTTGCAAATCTGATTTGAGTCGCTAACAATAAGGTATTGAAAAGGCAAGCAGAGCAGGTAGCTCTCTCTGTCTTTCCTTGAGCTCCTAATTTATGCTCAGCTTCACTTGCTGAAGCAAACCCCTAACAATACAAATGTTTATGTTGAAACAAGGGGGACAGAATCTTTAGAAAAGACAGCAAAAGGCCAGGTAGAAAGGCCCAAAAAACCCACCAAGAACCAAACCTCAACAAACTTGTAAAAATCCAGTTATTTTAGTTGAAAGGAAAAAATAATCTGTACTGTAGTTGTTAGCTGTATTTTCTGATGAGAAGCTATGACATGCTCTCTTCCCCCATAGAGCTCATAAAATTGTGCTCTGTGTACCAAATGGATTATTTTGTTTTTCATTAAATAAAGAAACTTGTAAACAGTGCTCTGTACCATAGAGATGATAATCTCCACCATCCCCCTCCTCTTCCTTAAACACTGGAGCAGCACTTTGCAGGTTGGGCTCAGACTTACGCGCAGCTCCCGGCGAAGCCCCAACCTGCTGTGATCACTGCAGCTTGGGGGCCAGGCAAGGTGTGCTCCCAACGTCTGAGATCATTACTGTGTGGGTTCAGTTGTGTCTTTATCAAATCCTATTTCTGAAAACAAATAAAAGTCTCAGTTGCACAGTGTTTGAATGCCACTCCTGTGCGACGGCAGCACTTGGTTGGGTTAGGTCTGCGGAGCTGGCACTGCTGCAGGTAGGGCAGAGCAAAAAGAGGAGACTGAATAATGAACTAGTTTTTATGTAGAAGATAGCAAGAAAAGTTTTATGGAGGTCACTGGGAATAACTGCTAGTTTCACTAGTTGAGTCAGTATATTTAGTTATTCCGCCATCTCTGCAGCCTTCAAGTTTGTAAGGTGTAATATGTTAAAAGTTTCATTGTTATCCTTGTAACTTGAGCCACAGTTCTAGACAGTGCTCTTGCAACACCCACTAAGCAGCACACCCCCTCACTCCACTATTTCCTTGCCTAATCTGTTTGCCTACTGTCTTGTGTTAGAGGAATACAACTTTTTTTCTTTTGCGTAGCTATTTTATCAGTAAGTTTACTGAACAGTTTGCAAAACCAGGTACTATTACCTTCATTTATGTTTCCATTATACTGGAAATTTCAGCCCTAGCTGTGGTGCAGCAGCTTCTCTCACAGTATACACAGGCACTGGTCAGTTTGTACCACTTTCAGGCTGGAGGAAACTGCTCTGCTGCAAATCCCACTCACTAATGGTCTTGTGTGTATTACCATGAGTCTGTAACTAGATGTGGTGAGTGATAAAGTGTGACTTGGGACCAAATACATTGACTTCTGCTCCATCCACTGGACCCATTGCACATGTCCTGTTACGAAAAAACTCTGAAATTACTGACAAATTGCATTCCAAAAGCAGAGAATAACTCAATTATTAGGTGTACCCAGTTGTTAAACACTGAGTTGTACTCTGTTCAGGTGAACCCTAGGTTAGTATCAGATACCTTTTCTTGATTTTCATTCATGTCTTCTTATGTCAGTTAAATGTTGGGTTTTTTTCCCTAATCAAGTATACATCTAGCAGAAATACTGGGGCAAAATATTCTTACATTATTACTTTTATTTTTCCAAATAGTTTAAAAATATTTGTTAACTCTATCTGTATATTAGTAAAAATACATTTAAATTATTATCACAAGATCTGCACACATTTTTTTGTTAAGTACTGAAGATACCTAATACTGATAAATATTTGTGTCACCAGGTGTAATACAGAGATACTTGCTTGATGTAATCATATAACTTGAATTGAGCTATTTGATGTTCTTTACCATGCCTTGTGAATAAAGTAATCCCTTCTGGATCACAATTTTATTCTTCCTGTCTATGCAGTAACAAGCGACTTGTGGCCTTAGTGCCAAATGACACTTCATTCAACACCAGACGAGCCTACACCAGCGAAGATGAAGCCTGGAAGTCGTATTTGGAGAATCCCCTAACAGCAGCTACCAAGGCTATGATGAGCATAAATGGTGATGAGGACAGTGCTGCTGCTCTTGGCCTATTGTATGACTATTATAAAGTAGGTAACTCTGTCATTATCCCTCCCTGCTGCACAAGCAGGGACTGCTCTAAGAGGCATCAAAAGAGCCAGTTTCTAAGACAGAAGTCACTGCATCTTGTTTTCTCTCTGATACTTGCATCAAGCACCCATTCCATTATAGGAAGCCTGTCTGAAGCTGTTTTGATAGGTTTAGTTCTGGAGTGAAAAAAAAACCCCAGAATTTCCATATTAAATTTTCAACCATGGTTTTCTTTTTGAGCATAGTGTTCTTCCTCTTCCCTTGCAAGAACATTGATAAATGAACTCCCTTTTTATTTGTACTTGGATACTTGCAATGTTCTTTAAAAAGCGTAAAAGGGGAGGCCTTGCCCATCTGTAGGTTTGTCTGCATTTCTGGTTCATTCCACACATGTTTTAGTTTGCTCTTTAACTGGAGTATCTCTCATCTGACAGTTTCCCATGTTATTTTTGTTTGTAAAATGATTGCAGTAGGCTGTATACAAACATACAGTGAGGTCTAGCCCTTGCACTGGAAGTTTGCAGTCTGAATAGTAAGGTGGAAGACAAAAATGGACACAGACCTAGGTCAATTTATAGGGGAAGCACTGACACACATTTTCAGTTTATGTCAGTTTCTAAACCTAGGACTTTACTGTTTTGATAACACCTTTCTTTTTCCTATATTTCTTAGTGTTTAAGTAGATCTATGTTTGAGATTTCTGCTGAAATCAGAGGAGAGTCCTGCAGGGTGCATCTCTGTGTAAAGTAGAAATGTCATGTTGAAACTCATGCTGACCCCTTGGTGCTCTGCAAACGGAATCAGTGTTGCCTACTAAGCACTAAAATATGAAATTGTTCATGTCACTTAAACTGTCTCTGTACTCCTGAAGCCACCTATGTCTGCTTTGGACAGATGATCTGTGAAAGCCAGCGCAGCAATGTCAGCTCCCCTTGTAATTCATGAAGAAGTAACATGAATGGAAATTAAAAACCTTTGCTTTTAGTATTTATTAGTATAAATGCATTTAGAGAAGAGACTCCTTTTTAATCTCTGCTGCATTAATTAAATGAGTGTTCAAGAAAAGGGATCGCAGGCAAGATGCCATATACCAACCTTATAGTTAAATATTGTTTTCATTTCTTTCCTGATTATATTTTAAGAGTTACTTTTGTGTGTTGTTGTCAGTAGAGAACAATGAGCAAAAAGAAAGGTCCTTTTCTCTGCTTGACAGAGTTACCACAGTGCCAGTCTGTGAAGTTAATGTGGATTCATAAAATTCAGGATGTGTATGAGCATCTGGAGTATTGGCTTCTGTATTAATAATACCCTTGTATGTCGCAGTTCATTAATCTGATGGATTTTAAAAATAAAACCAAAAAATAGCCCTTTCCCTTCTCAAAACCATGTTCTAAGAGAGATGTCTATTCTTTGTTCCAGGCAGTTGCAAAAGATTTGGGATTCAGATAGAATAAGCTTGTGTTAATCTCAAAGCCGTTTCCAGCATTCAATCGTAACTATTTTAATCTTAAACTAGGGAGAGATGATTCATTGACACTCTCAAACAGGAACTTAAAACCTAACTTAAACCTATGTGCTATAATGTGGAATTGTTGAGGAGGAGGTCCAGTGCACCAGACTCAGAATTGTCCTTATTTATCATCTGGCTCATTTGTTCTGATGTGCTGGATAAAGTTTTTGAAGTACTTTTTCCAGTCAATAGGAATTATTTGAGCTTTACAGTCTGGATTTTTTTAACTTCTCCTTTTTCCTGTAGTGATATTTACCTAAACATAGACCCTCCTTCAGGGATTAAATACATTATCCTAAAAGGGGAATCAGCATGTGCAAACTGTGGCTTTTATCCCAGTTCAAAAGTGTGTGAAAGAGATTTTTTAACTAGCAAGATGCTTAATAGGGAGAGGGAATGTCCCTAAGAGAAGGAAAGGCTCTGGCTAGCACTCTCTGACTCTACTGCTCTCTTGCAGGTACAGTTGATATTATTGTTGGCTACTGTAGTGCACTGGAATATTGTTTTCCCTCTAGATTCAGATATTTCTTCAAAATAATTAACAATAAAAGGCATTTGGCCCATTAGCCCATTCCTAGGTCTGTTCTTGCTCTTTAATCCTGTGTTAACTGCTGTGATGGAGTGGATATGCCTTCTTGTGCAAAAGATAGATTAGAAGTTTTATCTCCCAAATTGCTTGTTCAGCAAGAAAAGAAAAATTTGGTCATGGCAGCAACTTTGCCCTCGGTGATATATCTATGCTGGTGTCAGGAAACAGGTATTTGGGAATACAACTTTTTAAGTCACTTGATGTCAATTCTGAGTCTGTCAAGGGGCCAGATTTGATGGAGGTTTTACTTCTTATGGTTGTTGATGCACTCAGCAAAGCAGAAGTCAGTGTTTCTGATGACATGCCAGCATGCCCTGACCTGTGCCCATACTAGGAAAGGGAAGGATCCACAAACTTTCCCTTTTCCCAGGTATGAGTCCTGCATCCTCCAGACTGCTCTGTAACAGGATGACTTAGCTGGCACTTATGGTTTAATTGAAAAGCCTTTTTCCTCTGAGCTAAAATGGTCTCCATGCAGAGCTCATCCAAGCATCATATCTTCCTTCTCCTCTTGTATTATTCGGTGAAAAGTGTGTGTGTTTTTTGGAATATAAGCTTTGATTTTGAGATAGTTTGGCCTAGGTTGATATCTAAAGATAGGACATGTAGAAGAGCACTTTTCTCCAGACTGATGTGCCCAAGAACTAGAAAAGAAAATAACCCCTATGTTTTTTCCCTTTGGAAATTTTCTTTCTGTTTACAACCAGTCTCCCAAAGAAAAACAGCTCCTGGCATCTGTAGGCTAGACAATGCTGATAGAGTTACATTTTTCTAGTTGCAGTAGAGCAATCTGAAGCTGCAAATGCCTGACAGTTGCATTTACCTGACCCCATGCCTGGTGTTGTTCTCAGGTTCCCAGAGATAAAAGGCTGTTGTCTGTTAACAAAGTGAGTGATAATCAAGAAGACCAAGATAAAAGGTACAGTATTATTCAAAATCATACACCCAGTTTCTAACAGTGTTGATCACTTGTGAACTGAGGGAACTATGATAGCCTGAGGGTTTATGGTTTTCTCCCAGAAGTTAAAAGAATGATGGTTTGGGAAGCACACTTTACTCCTTTTTACTTTTCATTTATTATAAAAAAATGGACAGTATTATCAAACACACAGTTTACAAAGTAGCTGAGAGTTTCATTACTTGTTTGTCCTTGGTTTTATTTTGCTGCTCCTGAGATCTGTGAAATCAGATATTGACAGTTGACTATTGGCTGCCTTTCTTTGTTTTCTTCTTCTAGAGCAAAGAGTGAGTAGTTTGGCCTCAGTAACCTGATTTATAGAGTTTTATTTAACATAACTTAGGATCTGTCCAGCAAATAAAGTAACTCTCAAAATCATTCACTTAGGGTGTTTTTCTCACTCCTCTCAGATTTCAGCCTTTCTGTGTAGGCTGAAAGTGACTTGAGGCAGAGGAAGCTGCCTCCTGCTTTATTAAGACTTTAGGACAAGAAAGACTATGTATTTATGTAGAAAGAACTAAGTTTTTACATACAGGAAGGTATTTTCATGTAAAGTTATGATGGAGAGAAGGTACACAAGTTTATTGCAATGTAGCTAGTTTGTGACAGCCTTAGATGGTCTCCACTAGCTGTTCATAAGGTGAAAGTTTAAATAGGTATTAGTGTAAATTTACTGTTTCAAAACAGACTATGAAGTATTTTTTGAGGGACAGATTTTCTTCTGTGATCACCAGAGAAATTCTTAAACTGAGTTTCATTGAGAAAACTGGCCTTCAGTGAAAAGCCAAGAGAGAAGAAATGTAGTATCAGAGCGTTTCTCCCGGTTTGAAAACAAAGCAGTGTTACACCTACTAAAAGTTTTATGAGTTAACAATTTTTTGTTAGTGCAACTACTATCAGTAGTCAGATTGCTTTCAACAGCAACTGTGGGTAGACGTGGGAATGCTGCTGGAGGTTACCTTGCAGTTACTGTAGTTACTGATCTACTCTGCTACAATGGGATTCCTGGGCTTGCTCTTTCAGAAGAGTGTTGGTACCGGAGTTACACAAACAGTAGTGGCCTGGCAACAGCCTGAAAGAGCAAGCAGCAGGGTATGAATTTGCTGTTGATATTCTGCCTATTTCACATGCAAATTATCTGCTGTGAGTAACCCATTCTTTGCCTTACTCTTATTTTGTGTCTAAAGGCTATTGCACTGGTGGATTGATTTTGCATCCAAATTGTTAGCCAAGGCAAGAGCAACCCTCGACACCCAGAATTTATTGTAACAAGTCTTATAGATTGTAGGTAAAATCAAATGTATTATCTTT